ATTGAAAAGACAGGTCTGGACGCACAAAAGTCACTTTGAAGTCTGATTGTGTTCAGATCTGTCTGACCACTTCAGGACATGGTCAGGGATATGTGTGGATTTCTCCTCAGTCTGGACGCAATCAGGCCACCGAAAGCGCATACAATGGGCGACGTCATCAGCACTCCTCCCACAAGTCTCCAGAAAACATGCGTTTTAGGACCGAGAGGCACCTTTTCATAAGGTTGGAAGAAATACATTCCTAGCGTGTGGGGAACGTGTTTGCAGGCCTCAAATTCTAGCCAGCTAGCTAATATTTAGAAAAAAAACGTTTGTTTGGTTAGAGTTATGCTAACTCGTTTGCAATCCCTTTAGCGTTGCTTTGGCTACTTAGCTACAGCCATCAGCTGTTGTGTTATCATATGTTGCCTATTCCACTGTTTGTAGAATGTATACTGGCATTTGAATATAGCACAGGAACGGACACAATGTGGACATGGACACATTTAAATGTTAATGTAGATGCATGACCTGTTCAGAATGCCATGCTCAGAACTCAGAATACAAAAGCTGAATTCCATGATCAGAATTCAAAAAGCTGCATGAACTGTCAAGTCTAGACACGGCCTCAGGACACACAGAGAGGAAGGAGCAGCATATTGGAGCCTTAATTCAATGTGTTGATGTGTAGTGAGCTACTTCTAACCTTAGCAGTTGCATTGGCTTCACTCATGTCACACAGGGAGGAAGGATGCGCACGTTGTCGCCTTCCCACTGCATGAGGGGCTCAGGTACCCTCTATTTAGACTTCAGCTGTCTGAAGTCAACTCATACCTGCTTATGGATCTCTTCTGTCCTGGTGCTGTTTTGCAGCTTTTCACTTTAAAACAGTGTTGATAAGTGTTTGTGCATTTCCATAAACGAATAGTTTACTGTGTAGCTCAGTTGGTAGAGCATGGCGCTTGCAATGCCAGGGTTGTGGGTTCTTTTCCCACGGGGGGCCAGTATGAAAATGTACGCACTCACTAACTGTAAATCGCTCTGGATATGAGCGTCTGCTAAATTACTAAAAATGTAAAAATAATAAGATTTCCTCTCTGCCCCTTTTCTAATTTAAAGAAGGATTGAACATGGGCCTACAGTATGGATTGTAGAGATGGATTATCATGTGATTTCTTTACACTGTATCAGTACACTATCCACTTGCACACCAGACTTGGTAGGCTGTCTACTTGGCTCTCACCCCAGCCTGAAAACATATCATTGATGTATGACTGAAAGAAATGAACTGATTTGAATAAATAGTTGCTTTGTTAAAGCATTTCCTCATTCACAGTGGATAGAATTTAACCAATGTCTAATGCAGGGTCTGAAGGTACTCGAACGCAAAGAAACAAGGGGTCTTCAAGAAGCCTTGCACATATTACATTGCTTAAGGGCAGGCTCCAGTCAATGTTCATGAACAACTTTAGTTATGAAAAGTTTGTACGGTGTTTAAAAAATATTTTTGGTAAGAAATATGATCAGTGAACATAACAAAATTGTAAGTCATAACTATTCAAATAAAATGTACAAAAAATTACAAATTACAAAACAATATCTGACATACAAAAATATGAGTTACACATTTCAAGTTGCTTCCATGTCTTATCTTATGCAAACACTAGATGGTGTGTAGGAGAGGTCTTGGAAAGGAACAATATTCAAAAGAGGAAACCTCAAAATGCAGGAAAAAACTAAGTGCATTTAAACCTATGCGTTGATAACTTTTGTAGTATTTATTGATTTCCCAGCTTCATACAAGCTGGATGTTGAGGCATAAACATAGTACATTTCAACAAAAATATAACCAATATTTACAATTATTGTATTAAAAATACAAAAAAACAACCGAAACATACTCCACCGATTGTCTTTTTAAAAGACATACAGGTCAAAGTAGTAGAAGAAAGTATGAGAAATCACCAGCTAAATGTACACTTCTCACTTGACATCACATCAAAACGGAGTAGCAATTCTACTTCCTACAATTATCTTTATGCTTGTACAATGTTGTGCAACTTTTTGTTTTTCGAAATAGGCCTTGGCCTGCTAATATGCACATAATCTTCAGAGTTGAATGAGAGTGAATGATGATTCATGTCACCATTGTATTAAACGCATTATCGACAATCTATCGGCTGCCATAAAAATTAAAAGAATTGACAGAAATTATAATAATGTAGTAACAGACCACAGTGAAAAACACAGCACTTGCTTTTTCTTCTTCTTAGTCGATCGTTTCTAACTACTGATCAATGTGATCAGCGCAACTCAGTGAAAAGAAAACAAAAACTTGACACTAACACCATTTTATACTAATAATTCTGATTGGCAGCCTTCAAAGTTTCATCTAGGTAACTTCCTCACCGGAGTCAAAACAATAAACATATTCAATCATTTTCTTCAGTCAAGTCCAATGATGTTGAGAAATGGTGGAAAACCGGTTGCTCTATGCTAGCACTGCCTAGTAATATACAAATCCATTGATCTTGATGCCTGTAACAGTGGAGGACTTTTCAATGAAGAGGAGGATGTATCCGACAGCAAGGTAGGAGAGAAGGTATATTCTACTTCAGTCTTAAAGTAACTGTCCAGTGTTTCGTTTCCAGATTTCTATGAAATTTGACCTATAATAATTACAATATGAGTAAAATCATTTTCCTTCCACAACAAAAAAAAAGAAAAAGAAAAGCAGCTTTTCTGTGTTGGAATGGTATGGGTGTACCCCAACAACAGAATGGTGTGGGCATATACCTGTCATAAAACATATTCATGCAAGGATGACATCATCCTCTATGATGAAATAGCAAGCATTTTTTAAATGGTCTGTTTGAGATACAAGTTTGAGGTGTTTAAAAAAAAAAGTGTTTTCCCTCCAATTCATGTTTTGGCGACAAATACGAGTATAGGATGAGTCAACAACATTATTTGGGCATGAGTTAACAAAATATGAACTATTAAAAGTGAGATTTTCACTGGACAGTTACTTTAAATGGTTGACAGAACCCAGGGAAAGTGTTTGGTTATGTAGCACCACTGAAAGACCTGAAACTCCATTCACCTGTATAGGATTTAAGGCTTGACCTGCCTTTGGGGTGCATAACTAAAACACGTTCCCAGAGTTGGTTGATTTGCCAATCAGGTATAAAAACCCTTTGTGCTTATCTTTTAACATCACAATCCATTAGGGACAAGACTAAGCCAAGAGAAATCTCCTGTAGTTGTCCTCTACAATGCTGTCCAAATACAGAATTAATATAAGTCACCAGATGACCCTCCAGGTTAAAACATGGATATCAAATAGCCAGATTGACTCTTTAGTTGGGCCACTGCTATGCTCCACAGCTTTAAAACCTGCCACATACTGTATATGACCTAGAACTGAAGTTGTGGCTGGCCATATCGGAAATAGACTGATATCCAGGCCAGGGTTGGGAATGGAGGGTTGCACTAAAACCTAAGGTTTCACTGAAAAGTGCTGAAGCCAGAGTGCCAGTGTGTGTCAGCACATTAGATTATGAAGGTGCATGTTGGTTACCCCAACTGACACGTTGGTCACCCAAATGACATATTGGTCATCCCAACTGATTTCTCTCATTGGGACTGTCCAGTTAGCAGTGGGGTTGAGCCATCACTAGGTCATGTCTAATATGTGAATGACAAGATAATACTGTAATTGTGGAATAAAACACTCTTTTGACAGATCTGTTTTTCAGAGTCCACACAGGGATATGATGCTTGGGTATAGCTGCTTTTACCCCCAGAGTGCAATAGTTCTGGAAAGAAGACCCCAAAAAACCTAGCAGGAAGTTCAAAATTGATCAATATTATTTTTTCCCCCTCCATCATCGTCTGTTTTGTTCTCGTTTTATAAAGTAGAAAATTAAAAAGTGCAGACAAAGCTCAACACATCATGATGCTGTGTGTAAAGCGAGGTGGGGTTGGGATAGGGGGTTAATAGTCTTGGAAAGCTGTTCCAGGACAGCTGTGTGTTTGTGTGAGCGCGGTTGTCGCACATCGCTGTGTTTTTTCAGCAAAACCGTTTGACTTGTCTCTTTTTTCCGTCTCTCCATCTTCTACTTCTTCACAGTATTTTTTTTGCATGCAGGGTCATTCAACCCCCCATGATGCTTTAAGGCAGGGGGGGATACGAGCAGAGGAGTCCACCAATCAGGAGGGAGAGTCCAGCAGAGGAGGCAGGCACGTACGTACTGGATTGGTCTGTCTGTCCATCAATCAATCAAGTCAGTCTCTCTTGTTCCGCCCCCATGGAAGGTACTTCAAGTCACTGCAAAGGACATCCAGCAGAAGACCGTTCTCAGACTGCTGATACCTGTTCATCCTCTGGAGAGAGAGAAAGAGAAAAAAATAGCAATGTTGGTTACCACGATGGTAAAATCCTGTAAAAGCATCACAGAGGCAGAAACCCCCACAAAAACGTCACTAACTGTCTTCTATGTGAACTTACCGTATTATGAACGACTATCAAAACTGAACAATACGCATATTGGCTACAAACAGCAATGTTAAGTGCAAAAAGTGTGAAAAACACTGCCAGGGATGGAGGTGCATGTGTGCAAGCATCGTCAACACAACTGTGCCCGCAGATGAATGCCATTCGACACTGCCCGTGATGTGAAAGACAGTAGAGAGAGTGAGGAGCAAAATGTCACTAATGCCTGGTGAGCTTGGTAAGCTTTGGTCCAAGCATGATGACTTCATGCACATGAGATGCCGTGGTGGGTTTGTGCTAGCCTGGTCCCAGATCTGTTTGTGCTGTCTTGACATCTCAATGCCCATTCCCCATAGGAGTTGGCAAGACGGCACAAACAAATCTGGGACCGGACTAGGTTTGCGGTGGATATGGGGGTAGTGGTTCAAGTCTGTGTTGTTCCTGGTGGGCATGCAGGTTATTGTTGGTATAAATCAGTCATTTACCTCAGCCTGAGGGGGCCTGCCCTGTAAACCGTACTCTCATCTCATGGCCTGGTTGTCTCTGGTGTTGTGTGTGCCACTGTCTTCCTCAGAGCGACTAGTTTGGGAGACAAGGACTCACCCTCCTCTTCCTCCTCCGGCTCTTCCTCCTCGCCTGGCGAGCGGGTGCGGTGGAGCCCTTGGCGCTTGGCATGTTGTTGGGCCTGGTGGTGGTGATGGGAGTCAGGCGACTGGTTGACCATGCGCGAGCGCTGCAGGGCCGTGGTGTAATCGGGCGGGCGGCGGCTGGAGTGGGCCGGGGCCGTGGGTGGGGGTGGCGACTGCGTCTGGCCTTCGCTGAAGTCAGAGATTGTCAGGGCGGTGTAGCCCGGCGGGGTTGGAGGGGGCTCGCGGTACCGGCTCTCCTTTCGCGCTGAAGGGGGGGGGGGTTGAAAGATGGTGGGGTTAAACGGAATTAATACTTTACCCATCTGCGCCACACACACCTAGAAAAAGTGTTGGTGTGGAGATATTCACGTGGACATAATTCAGCTGACATGCACTTCGCTCCAAGGATGTACGCAAATCGTAAAAAGCATGAATGCATACACAAGGTTTGGTATTTTCAGAACATTCTAAATCAGCCCTTTCACCAGGACACCGTTTATTTGTTGAGGAACAGGAACATTTGCCTATGAGGGCTACTAAACCCTTCCATCAACAGAACAGACAAACAAAGTTCAGAGGTCAACTCACTGATAAGGCCCTTGTTGCCGGCGGTGATGGGTGATGGCGAAGGCCTTCCGTGCTGCTTGGCCTCGTCAGACCCCATCGATGTGATACTACTCGTCTCTGGGTCGGTGTTCACGTCCTTCCCGCCTCGCCGTTTAATCGTTCCTGTGTCGCCCTCGGAGTCCTCGCCCCAGTACGCCGCAGAGGAAGATGAAGAAGAGGCCGATGCCCAGCTCCCTCTAGCCTGAGACGCCCACAGTCCAGCGGGGCCCCCTAGTAACGCTTCAGGCCCCCCGGGAGGGTGGACACCAACACCCCCCGGTCCGAAGGCCAGGGTCTCCCAGCTGCGTCCCTGCTGCATGGTCTGGATGTTGTCGTGGGAGCCCGAGGAACATGAGGTCCAGGAGCCGCGGCCGCTATCGGCGGCGTCCAGGGAGACGCGGTCCCCTTGGTCCTGGGTCAGCTCCTCCGAGCTGGGGGAGGAGAGCACCATGGCGCAGGCGTACAGGCCCCGGCAGTCCTGCATGGACGAGTAGGAACTGTGTGGGAGGGGGATAAGAGATAAGCTATACCTTTACAATGGGTTCTCCATTCATCAACAACACAGTGGACAGGTAGAGAAATAAAGGGCTGGGATGAGAAATCTTCCGTTCTCAACTTTTGAAATTAAACTCAACACTTCAACTAGCTTTTAAAATAGGATGTGTACCAAACACTATATTTTCAAGTTAACCACCCCTTAACAATTGTATAACTTGGGTACACTATCCCTTTAAACAACGTTTTTGGGATGATAATCATTAGAAATTGGCAGCGTTGATTCATACCCGAGGCTGTACTGGTCAGGGTCGGTCGTAGCCCTCCTCTCCAGACGCACCCCTCCAGCGTGGGGGTCTCCCACCCCTCCGGAGTGCCTGAGCCCCCTCCTCTCCTCCTGGGCCATGTCGAAGGAGGAGTTGCTGACCAGGCTGGAGCGTGACGAGATCTCGCTGTGACCCGAGTCCGAGTAGGTGTCTCCCATTCTGGGGTACCCTGGAGAGAGGAGGGGGTGGTCACAATTAACTGACTGATTCCAATCTACTAATCCATGGGGTTGTGTTCAGAGGGTTGAAACGTTCAGAACCTCCTAGCATTGATTAACAGCAGGCAAAATAAGAGAAGACAGAGATACTTTTCTTGTAGTGAGATGTTCTAACTGCACCTCGAAAACAAAACTGCACCTCTAACTGCACCACCTTCACTCAGCACACCAGAGAACGTACAACTTTAACATCATCATCCTCTGTGACCTAAGTACTAAGTCATGACAAAAATATTCAAAGAACCCACTACACACCTAGAATCACAAGCCTAAGAAAAGGATAGGGGAAATACACAGCAAGCCCTAACTCTATAACAAACCTCAGAACGTGCTTCAGGGCAGCGATCCAATCCAAAAAACAAAGATCCTCACACCTTTAGCCTGGAGTCACAATGACTGACATTACAAAGCAATCCCATTCACACACATCAAGAACCCCATCTCAGAGTCATCCTATCAAATTCTTCTCCCACTCTGCGCAGCCAGTCATCAAAAATGGAGTCTTCTGTGACATTAAATCATTGGGCAAACCAACCTCCAGCTACCATTCAAAAAATGGAGTGCTATTCCAAGTCCGGTGGACTAGAGTCAAGGCAGTCTCTGAAACCCATCCAATAATGAGTGAATTAGATTTTACCCAGTGGACCGAAGGGCTTCTAAGCACACTGACATGAATCAGGCGGAGTAGTGGATGTCGGTGAAGAAGCAGCAACTGAGCTTTTCCATCTTCTGAAGCAACTGCCGTACTACGTGTAATACTACCACACATCACAGCAGCAACTCAGCTACTAAGACAAGCGGGGCGACAAGCCCTCTGGACCCCCTATATATACACAGGGTCCAACCAGTTCCTCTTTGTAAGATCAACTGGGTCGTGTTCATTAGGGCACGCAACGTTTTTTTTTTTTTTACGTTTTGCAACGGAAAACAGAAATTAGTGTTTCTTATTGGACATGTTTAGGTAGTCCCTCCCTGTTTCAATCTCGATTCTTCCATTTGGTGCCTAATGAACACGACCCTGATTTGTTACTTAATCAATAATGTTGTAATATTAGTCATCATCATTTAAGACTTGGTTGGAAGTGAACAACAAATACCCTGCATGTATAGGGGGGCATCATTGGGGGAGCCCCAATATGTGTTCTAGGCCAGCAGCTTCTGTCTAGGTTTATGGCCGGGCTCAGTTTACCTGTGGCTGTCTGTTTACTGGTAAAGGTAACCTTCCGGACACTTTGGCCCTTCAGTGTCCCGAGCCCTACGTGCAGCAAGGCAAAGAGACTGTCACACACAGATAGAACACAGGACAGCAACACAGTATGTACGGGTTGAGGTAGTTGGGATGGGAGGTAGGGGCAACTGGGATGGGAGGTAGGGGCAACTGGGATGGGAGGTAGGGGCAACTGGGATGGGAGGTAGGGGCAACTGGGATGGTTGCTGTGTAAGTTTCAGGGGATAACGGATTCCAATATGGACCAGTGTAGGCGGTCTCTAAGAATGGCTAAGGGACAGTTTAGTGTTGTGGTTAGGGCTTGGCGATCTATCGAATTCGGTTAATTTGAATGTCTGTTTTTGCGCGATATTCCAAATGCCTGTATCGCAAGAATCAAGGTTTTGTTCTTTTTCGTTTTTATGAGCGTTTATGTCCGCTTGTTCTCATGCTGTATTTGGTTTCGTGTCTTTCGCTCCTCTGTGCTGTGTGCACCTTCCCATTTACAACAGAGATCAGTATAGAATGACGAGATGCTCATGTCTCCGCCCTAACAATGGGAATCATTGTCCCAAAGGCGGGAAGGCAGGCGACAAGCGCCAAAATAAGCCCATAGAAACGCATTGGCCTTATTTTGGACAGATTTCGGCGAGAGGTTTTTTCACCTCTTCCTTTATGGTTTACACACACACAAACACACACACACACCAAGCCCCTCCCCCTACCGCCAACAAAGTTGACAGATGACATCTTCCTCTCTGACAAGTGGTTTCAACTCGCTATTTGCATTTGAGGTTTGGTCCAACAGAAATCGGTCATATGAACACCAAAACACATTGAGATATTTTACTGTAATAGAGGAGAAGATAACTTTTCGAATGATACCCTTTTTATGTCTCAAATATTCACATTGCGCGCAGAGTAGACACTACTAAAACGAGAGTATCAATTAACATTGATTCTGGAAAATGAATGCTCAGTTTGTCACGTGTGGCATTTGGGTACCACCTACCGCTAGAAGCATTTTAGCCAAAGACTGTTATACTAGCTGTCTAGTCTGTTTTATAAATGTGCAATATGCATTAAAAAAACTATTATATAAGGAACTGGCAACTTGTTCTCATTCTGAGAAATAAGGTAGGCCACTTGATTTCAACATCTGAACAAAGTGGACAGGCTAAAATACTTTTCAAACAGTTGGACACAGAAGGATGTGTTCATAACAATTCAACTGTTCTGCCTTGTTAGCTAGCAAATACTGTAGATCCAAGTTGGCTAAACTTGAAATATAAAGATTAGCTGGCTAGTCACTAGCACGTGGGCTTGAGAGATTGTTGATGAGACCCATGTTAATTTTCTATAGCCTGCTATAAGAAGTTAGTCATTAGTGAATGTGTTTATTCATGGTTCTAGTTACATTTGTAACAAAAAAGGGCATTTTCATAGACAGACTTGATAGCCAGATCAGTGGTTATAAAAAATTATAAAAAGCAGGCTAAACTATTCTGAAAAAATAATTAAATGATTAGTTGGTCTTATGATTGTGGAAGGCTTAGATTTAGCCTAGGTATAATTTTAAAAGCCCTGAATTCATTAGATTATTGCTGACTGTTTGAAATGCAGTGTATTTGACCTTTAATTGTACAACAACGCTTAGAGAGAACATAAAGAGAATCGAGATAAATATCGTGAACCGCCCATAAGTTTGAAAAAAATATGCAATACGATTTTTAGGCCATATCGCCCAGCCCTAGTTGTGGCGTGTGCCTTTTAATGTATTGTAACTCCACAAGTAAAGCACAACTTTCCTTTTTCATGGGTCAGAAGAAAACCCTTTCAGTGTCCCATAGCCCCAAAAACCTTGAGTAACTGTTGCTATTTCAAAACGACATCTATGACATCACAGGAGGCTGAACCAGTAGTTCCACTCTATGACCACTAGGTGTCAGCAGTAATCTGCTGAGTATCTGTATGGGTGAGGGGGGCACTGGGCTGAGGTTGGATTGAGGGGATTATTATCTTACCCTTCCTGGGAGAGCTCTGGGGAGAGGTGGGAGGGGAGGAGCGCTGCGAGGAGGCATTAGACACTGTGTCCTCCGTCTGACGCTTGTGACGCTCGCTGGCCTCCTCCGACAGCGACAGGATCTTCTTCAGCGACTGAGGGGAACTCGTGCCTTCAAAACAAAACAATAGCCAAAATTAGCATTTGCTCATTAGCATTCAGCAAGGGCCAGTTTCCCAGACGCAGATTAATCTTTAGAATCTCCAGTCCATATTGTCTAACTAAGCTAGCTACCCACACTACAAGCAACATTGTGATCAGGTACGTTTTACCTGAAACTGAAACTGTGTTTTCCTGAAAGGAATCACAGATTGTTTCTTTCTGACACCATACAATCTTCTAAAACGTGCATAATTGCATCAAGTACAGTTGAAGTCGGAAGTTTACATACACCTTAGCCAAATACATTTAAACTCAGTTTTTCACAATTCCTGACATTTAATCTTAGTAAAGATTCCCTGTCTTAGGTCAGTTAGGATCACCATTTTATTTTAAGAATGTGAAATGTCAGAATAATAGTAGAGAGAATGATTTATTTCAGCTTTTATTTCTTTCATCACATTCCCAGTGGGTCAGAAGTTTACATACACTCAATTCGTATTTGGTAGCATTGCCTTTAAATTGTTTAACTTGGGTCAAACGTTTTGGGTAGCCTTCCACAAGCTTCCCACAATAAGTTGGGTGAATTTTGGCCCATTCCTCCTGACAGAGCTGGTGTAACTGAGTCAGGTTTGTAGGCCTCCTTGCTCCCACACGCTTTTTCAGTTCTGCCCACAAATCTTCTATAGGATTGAGGTCAGGGCTTTGTGATGGCCACTCCAATACCTTGACTTTGTTGTCCTTAAGCCATTTTGGAACAACTTTGGAAGTATGCTTGGGTCATTGTCCATTTGGAAGACCCATTTGCGACCAAGCTTTAACTTCCTGACTGATGTCTTGAGATGTTGCTTCAATATTTCCACATAACTTTCCTTCCTCATGATGCCATCTATTATGTGAAGTGCACCAGTCCCTCCTGCAGCAAAGCACCCCCACAGCATGATGCTGCCACCCCCATGATTCACGGTTGGGATGGTGTTCTTCGGCTTGCAAGCAACCCCCTTTTTCCTCCAAACATAACGATGGTCATTATGGCCAAACAGTTCTATTTTTGTTTCATCAGACCAGAGGACATTTCTCCAAAAAGTATGATCTTTGTCCCCATGTGCAGTTGCAAACCATAGTTTGGCTTTTTTATGGTGGTTTTGGAGCGGTGACTTCTTCCTTGCTGAGCGGCCTTACAGGTTATGTCGATATAGGACTTGTTTTACTGTGGATATAGATAATTTTGTACCTGTCTCCTCCAGCATCTTCACAAGGTCCTTTGCTGTTGTTCTGGGATTGATTTGCACTTTTCGCACCAAAGTATGTTCATCTCTAGGAGACAGAACGCATCTCCTTCCTGAGCAGTATGACGGCTGCGTGGTCCTATGGTGTTTATACTTGCGTACTATTGTTTGTACAGATGAACGTGGCACCTTCAGGCGTTTGGAAATTGCTTCCAAGGATGAACCAGACTTGTGGAGGTCTACAATTATTTTTCTGAGGTCTTGGCTGATTTCTTTTGATTTCCCATGATGTCAAGCAAAGAGGCACTGAGTTTGAAGGTAGGCCTTGAAATACATCCACAGGTACACCTCCAATTGACTCAAATGATGTCAATTAGCTTATCAGAAGCTTCTAAAGCCATGACATCATTTTCTGGAATTTTCCAAGCTGTTTAAAGGCACAGTCAACTTAGTGTATGTAAACTTCTGACTCACTGGAATTGTGATACAGTGAATTATAAGTGAAATAATCTGTCTGTAAACAATTGTTGGAAAAATTACTTGTGTCATGCACAAAGTAGATATCCTAACCGACTTGCCAAAACTATAGTTAGTAAAAAATAAATGTGTGGAGTGGTTGAAAAAATGAGTTTTAATGACTCCAACCTAAGTGTATGTAAACTTCTGACTTCAACTGTATGATTTTCCCCTTAACTAGCGCAGGTTCTTACCGAATGGTGGCAGGTCCTTGACTGGCACTTTCTTGCGGGAGGGGTAGAGGGCCACGGCGGGCACCTGAAGGGCCTGGTTTCCCTTCTGCAGCTGGCCCCTCTGCTGGCTGGCAGCTCTGGACACCACCGGAGACGTGTCTGGCCTCTTACCGCCACCAGCATTCTTGGGCACTGAGAAAGGGTTGAAGGAGAATGTGGTGCGTTAACAAACGGAGTGTTGCTGCGGAGTCAAAATGGCCACCTGGTGTGCTTGTGTATACACAGCATGCATGTGTGCGTCATTCACGTGTTGATGGAGGGCTCACATTGCAGTTAGAGAACACAAGTGTGTGTGTGCACAGCATGTACTCTATCCAACACTTACGTGTGTTGATGGAGGGCTCACACTGCATTGAGAGGGTCTGCAGCGCCTCCTCGTTGGTCTCCAGGCTGAGGTTGGACAGGTACTGCTTGACCTTGCGGGCCATCTGGGCGTCCTCATACAGCTTCTTGGCGTTCAGGAAGGAGCTGCGCCTCACCCGCTTTTTGTGCCCGCCCGTCTGGGTGACGTCTAGCACCGCCGCGTTGGCACTGCCCTGGCTAAGAGACCTGGTCACACGCGTACATACACACACACAGACACAGACACACACACACACACACACACACACAGGCACGCAGGCACGCACACACATAGAAATGGAGAGGGGAGAGCGAGACCACCATCAGACTATGGCCATGTGTGTGTACTAATATTTAGGTGTGTGGGCACTATTCCTGGAAGGTAGTTGAGACGGTCGTTTGAGAGGCAGACATGCAGAGACCGAGAGGCTTTGGGGGCATTCCTCTCAGCTCCAGAACATTCCATGCATTCCAAGGAAGAAGGGGAGGGAATAGGGCCAGGGGGTCAATCAGTCAGGAAACAGGGGATGTGTGTGTGTGTGTGTGTGTGTGTTGGGGGTTCAAATAGTGATGTATAGTCATTTCTGTGGTAAACACCAAGGTAGTTCTAGTGAAATGCCTTTTCAGCAGAAACTATGGTACATACAGAGTACATGCATAGTATGGTGGAATTGAACAATGAATGCTCTGTATAGTACCTCCTTGGCCACTGTAATGTAAAGCATGACTAGTTTGGCTGCGGGCCTAAAATGAACTTTTTGGTCCGCCAGCCACTATGGCAGGTAGATGAAAAAACCTACCATCCACTCAGATTCTTTACCAGCCATTTTTTTGTGCCATAATTTAAAAAAATTACATTTTTACAGATGAACATGCTTGGTAATTTTTCTAAAACAAGAAATGTATTAGTAAGAAGTAAATGTGGTATATTGCTCCATTTCATTTCTTGTGACCAGAGACTTTTAACCAAAATATCAGGGACAAAATGTTCAGCTGCCCCTTTAAGGCCTGGAGGTAACGGGACCACTCGATGCGTCTTGAAAAACAACCGAGCTTGTGAACAAAACAATGTAAATAGCTAAAAAAACAAGAGGACAAAGTCTCACTTTGTAGACTTGAGTAAATTAGTCCAAATTCTTGTGCGCAGCGCCTCCAAAAACAAATCTCAGCACTTCACTCCCCTGCCAGTGTTGCTGCCCGAGGATTCATATTTCCTTGTGCAATTAACAACTATGAAACACAACAGCAGAAATACTTGGAAAACTGCTACTGCAGCATTTCTCTAACCCAAACTTGCACGTGCTCATACTTGACTTTTGACTCTTTTTATTCGCATATTTAATGCTCGCATTGTAGAGCCCTGAAAATTGACCACCCGCCATTGTGGCTGGTGAAATAGACATTCTTACCTGCCAATACCTAAATCTACCCGCATTTGGCAGGTGTTAATTTTATGCCCTGTTTGGCTGTCATTGTAGCACACTACAGACTTTCATGTTTAAGAAGATATTTTCAGTCTGGAGGCTGATAAATCCAAACTGATCCAAAACAAAAGTAGGCATGCCATTATTGGTAAGTAGGCTATCTTAGCTGGGAAAACACAAAGTAATCACTTTTGCTAGTTCATGGATCACTATATCAGTTTTAATGCATAATTGCGAATTATTTTGAGAATTCTAAAATTGTAGTTTGACCTGAAAAAAGCAAAAGTGATGTTCATTTCCATTTCGAAAAATATTTTTGCCAGAGCCAAGCAGTGTTAGAAGGGTTTCAAACCAAATGTAAAATCAGCACTAAAAACAAAAAAACGAGGCGTCCGAAATGAGGAAGGAAGGGAGCCAGCAAATGGGGCAAAAGAAAAAAGCATGGAAAGGTCGGTCACCAAAAACTTACCCTAAACTCCTCCATTTCTTCTTCCTAGAAGGGATAGCCATGAACAGTGAAGCGTGGAGGGCAAAGAGTGCACGGGGAGAGAGAGAAAGAGAGAGAGAAAGAGAGGGAGACAAGCTTAGACAGGATAGACCACAGAGAGCCACCAAGATGAGCAAGTTTACCAGAGGCCCACAATAGAGAGAAAGAGACAAACATTGATAACAACCACCGACACCCGGAAGTGACATCACAGCATGGTGGACATACTGTTGAAGTCGGAAGTTTAGATACACCTTGGCCAAATACATTTAAACTCAGTTTTTACAATTCCTGACATTTAATCCTAGTAAAGATTCCCTGTCTTAGGTCAGTTAGGATCACCACTTTATTTTAAGAATGTGAAATGTCAGAATAATAGAGAGAATGATTTATTTCAGCTTTTATTTCTTTCATCACATTCCCAGTGGGTCAGAAGTTTACATACACTCAATTCGTATTTGGTAGCATTGCCTTTAAATTGTTTAACTTGGGTCAAACGTTTCGGGTTGCCTTCCACAAGCTTCCCACAATAAGTTGGGTGAATTTTGGCCCATTCCTCCTGACAGAGCTGGTGTAACTGAGTCAGGTTTGTAGGCCTCCTTGCTCACATACGCCTTTTCAGTTCTGCCCACACATTTTCTATAGGATTGAGGTCAGGGCTTTCTGATGGCCACTCCAATACCTTGACTTTGTTGTCCTTAAGCCATTTTGCCACAACTTTGGAAGTATGCTTGGGATCATTGTCCATTTGGAAGACCCATTTGCGACCAAGCTTTAACTTCCTGACTGATGTCTTGAGATGTTGCTTCAATATGTCCACTTAACTTTCCTTCCTCATGTTGCCATCTATTTTGTGAAGTGCACCAGTCCCTCCTGCAGCAAAGCACCCCCAAGCATGATGCTGCCACCCCCGTGCTTCACGGTTGGGATGGTGTTCTTCAGCTTGCAAGCAACCCCCTTTTTCCTCCAAACATAACGATGGTCATTATGGCCAAACAGTTCTATTTTTGTTTCATCAGACCAGAGGACATTTCTCCAAAAAGTATGATCTTTGTCCCCATGTGCAGTTGCAAACCATAGTTTGGCTTTTTTATGGTGGTTTTGGAGCGGTGACTTCTTCCTTGCTGAGCGGCCTTACAGGTTATGTCGATATAGGACTTGTTTTACTGTGGATATAGATAATTTTGTACCTGTTTCCTCCAGCATCTTCACAAGGTCCTTTGCTGTTGTTCTGGGATTGATTTGCACTTTTCGCACCAAAGTATGTTCATCTCTAGGAGACAGAACGCGTCTCCTTCCTGAGCGGTATGATGGCTGCGTGGTGCCATGGTGTTTATACTTGCGTACTATTGTTTGTACAGATGAACGTGGTACCTTCAGCCGTTTGGAAATTGCTCCCAAGGATGAACCAGACTTGTAGAGGTCTACAATTATTTTTCTGAGGTCTTGGCTGATTTCTTTTGATTTTCCCATGATGTCAAGCAAAGAGGCACTGAGTTTGAAGGTAGGCCTTGAAATACATCCACAGGTACACCTCCAATTGACTCAAATGATGTCAATTAGCCTATCAGAAGCTTCTAAAGCCATGACATTATTTTCTGGAATTTTCCAAGCTGTTTAAAGGCACAGTCAACTTAGTGTATGTAAACTTCTGACCCACTGGAATTGTGATACAGTGAATTATAAGTGAAATAATCTGTCTGTAAACAATTGTTGGAAAAATTACTTGTGTCATGCACAAAGTAGATGTCCTAACCGACTTGCCAAAACTATAGTTTGTTAACAAGAAATTTGTGGAGTGTTTGAAAAACGAGTTTTAATGACTCCAACCTAAGTGTATGTAAACTTCCGACTTCAACTGTACATAGTCACAGTCAGACACACACTTTCACATGAGCACTGTGGTTTTATGCCAACGATAAGTGGACAGTACAGAATACAGGAAACAGCTGGGTTGCCCGGGGAAATGGCTGCTCAAGGGAAAAGCGTGGAAGCGGGGAATATTGACAATCTACATGTGAACAACCATTGACAATCTACAGTGATTTGATTGGATGTGTAGGGGATGGTTAAGCATTGTTAGTCTTCTGGGAATATTGGTTTTCGGTGTTTTTCCCGATGTTACCTGGTTCTGAACATGAGCGCAGGGTCCATGTTGACGGAGGCCATGCGACCCACGTGGCGGATCTCTTTGGCGATCATACGCAGCTTCTCAAAGTTCACCAGGCCGTCCACTTTTGAGTCGTTCCCTGGGGAAAGACGAGAGAGACTATTTGTTATAACAGTGGAAAAGGGAGGGGAGGGGCTGGGGATGGGCTTTGGCAGAAGCTTTGAGAAGGGTGGGGGTTTATCTTCCTTAAGATTTGGTTCTGGGTTCCAAAATTAATGTTTTTGAACACATTTTGTGATACAAAATGACCAAGTGTGTCATTGACTACCTTCGTGCAGGAAGGTGAGGTCTTTCTTGATGACAGGGAACAGGGGGATGATGGGCGGCTGGAGGTTCTGGTTGTTGAGCACGTTGCGGTACTTGGCCATGTTCCTGGACGGGTCAAACAGGTCCTGCAGGTCCCCAAACAGCTTCTCGTACTTACTGGGCAGCTTTTCCCACGTGCCCCGGAGTCTAGATACTGGGGCCAGGTTCAGACCACTGTTGGGGGAGGACCACAGACAGACAGTGAAGTTAGAAGGCTGATCCTGTAGAGGGGGTGTGCTAACCTCTGGGGATTAGGGTTAGGGGGTTAACTCTGGTTCTAGAGGATGAAAAGGTTTCATCCAACCCCACACAAACACAGCTGATTCAGCCTAACTGCTGGATTTGGTGTAAAACTCTTCAAAATTGGTTTAATACATCTACATCACAACAATACAACATGGCCACCGGGTCTCCTCTTGTCGTCCTCCTCTCCCACCTCACCTGATGATGGCGAACATGGAGTTGAAGTTCTTGCACTCTCTACAATGGAGAGCAATCTTGATGAAGTGCTTGACCGTCTTCATGCGCTTGAGTTGGTTGGGCTCCCGGGTCACCTCCGACGCCACCCAGAAGGTCTCTTGGTTGATGACCTCCTCGAAGCGCTTGAGGCAAAATGAGCCCGTCTTGGACTTGAGCTTGAACAGGTCATCGATGTACTCAGTGGGCTCGATGGCGCAGAAGAGTTCGAAGGCACGCATGGAGAGCTGCGTGGCTACTTCCACGGTGGAGAGCTGGAGGAGGGAGATCTGGGCTTCACGAAGGAGGTCCTGGGCGTCCTCGTCTGAACAGAGGGTTTCTGTCTCCATGTTGCTCTTCAGGTAGTATCTAGAGAGAGGGGAAGAGCAGGGAGTTCCTTTAGTATTTACACGCAGGTATTATTTTGGACATAGATAATCTGTCTCCATTTTGTTCGTCCAGTAGAATCAGATCAACACAAAGCACATATTCAAGTGTTTTTGTTAGTTATTCATAGTATCAAGTTGAGTAACTATTAACAAGCACCTGATGTTTTGTGACTATAATGTGACTTGAATAAAAATATTAAAAGACAAGGTCTTTACTAATAAGGGACTATGGGAGAGCAGGTTTTAAGATAGGAATGGTCATGAGAACATCAGCACAACAGGAAGGGGAGACTTGAGAGTATTTGCTATCTTTTGTACAAGAGATGGAACAAAACTCTATAAATAATTGAAATAATTAAATCAATAGAACCAGTCCTTACCTGCCACTGAGCTGTATCCTATCAGCCAGCTTGGACAGCTGCTCTGGTAGCCGCCGTTGCTTGATGACGCCCTCCGGCGTGACGGACACCTCGCACAGCGAATAGGCTTCGGGCGCCGCGGTCAGGGCGAACTCCCGGATGGCCTGGGCCACCACCTCCTTGGCCGTGGTGTCCTTACCAATCATGATGTATCGACTCTGTTGGTCTGCCTTGAACACCCGCAGCACCTGGTCGGACATGTCTGGGGGGGGGGGGGGGGGGGGGGGTAGAGGTACAACGTCAACACAATGTTGGTCAAACATTAGGGGCGGAATCCTCATTTGGGATATGTAGATCACTTAATTGCATTGAAATTACCTGAACAATTATATGTCCGAATTCAGCAATTTTGTCATGCACAGTCACATAATTCAAGTACCATTGTTTTTTTCCCCCAAGGTTAAAAAATCATGGCATCCCCACCTAAATCATTTTGATGTCAACATACCACCACGATTACAATGAAACACACCAATATGCACAGAGAATGAATTGGTCAATGTAATGCTGGCTGCTTATACTCGATTTGTTTCAAAATGTACTCCAGTTAGATTCAGGCATGCATTACCCATTAAAACACACTGATTTGATGCCTGCTTTTATCAAGACCGACAAGACCAGACCATAACCACAGTTAAAAGTTTGCCCTTTAGAGAGCAGTTTTAGAAACACCATAGGAAGCTTGTAAACGAAAAAGCAGTTAGCTGGCAAAGAGGACAAGCGTTGCCGTGGGCAGAGCGGCAGAGCGATACTCACTTGTCACGACTGGGGCTGAAAGAACACAAAGAGTGTGTGTAGGAGAACGTTAATGGGTGTGTCAAACTTGGATGCCAGACATCTGGCGAAGTATGTGCACGGTTGGCAATGTATATAAATGCATGCGAACTAGATGGCTTCAAGAGAGCTGAAGACAGCCAAGTTGTGCTTATAGATGTGTAATGTATGCTTTATAATATTCAGTTGTCTATTAGAGGTTCAAAGAGGGGTGTGTCTCTTTGTCCTCACCCGGTTGGTTGTTGAAGTCCAGGATGCGGTGGTGGGACTGCAGCAGGTCAGGGTTGCTGGACGATAGGTTGCCGCTGACTGGCAGCGCGGCCGGAATCTGTTTGGACTGCTTCAGGCCCACAATGCTATCGTCCTGCGACTGGCCCACGCCCACGTCGCTACCGAAACACAGAGGGAGGGGTTAGAAGCAGTTCCACTTTCAGAGGATAGAGGGCGATGTTTGTACAGTAAAGTACACAGTGCACAAAACATTAAGAATATCCTAATATTGAGTTGCATCCCCTCAGAACAGCCTCAATTCATCAGGGCTTGGACTGTACAAGGTGTCGAAAGCGTTCCACGGGGAAGCTGGTCCATGTTAAGACAAACCGATTCACCTGGCACCTACTACCATAACCCATTCAAAGGCACTTAAATCATCCTCTGAATGGCACATACACCCAATCCATGTCTGAAGGCTTAAAACTCCTTCTTTAACCTGTCTCCATTCATCTACACTGATTGAAGTGGATTTAACAAGTGACATCAATAAGGGATCATAGCCTTCACCTGGATTCACATGGTCAGTCTATGTCATGGAAAGACCTCAATACATCTTGAGAAATATAACAAATTAAACAGTAATAACCCAACCCCATTTTATTCCGCACTCTCCTCTCCTATTTTCTTCAACTCCACTATTATTATTTTTCTTCCACTCTCCTTTCCTCTCTAAATTTGAAGCAACATTTTCCCTTCGTCTCTTACTTGTACGGTTTTGGGGGCAGGATGCTGGTGAGCGTCTTGTCGAAGATCTTCTTGAGCTTGTTCCTTCCTCCCACAGTGTTGGCCTTGGCCTTCTTACTGGCCTTCTCCAGGCCCATCACCTGCATTAAGGAGGAGACGGGACACCATTAGGTTAGGCTTTAGGAATGTCTTTACTAAGATAAAACCAGGGACATTTTCATTAGGGCACATTGTAGCAAAACATTTTGCAACAGAAAACGAAAACAAGCATTTCTGATTGGACAATGTCAGGTAGTCCCTTCCTGTTTCAGTCTGTTTTCTTCTGTTTGGTGCCTAATGAACACGTGCCTGATACCATACACAAAGCATTATGGGTACTGTAGTCCATCATAATACATCACCTGCTCAACGTCCACCGCCAGGTCAGGGATGGAGTAGCGCGAGCTCTTCTTGATGTCCCCAATCTTGGGCAGGTGTGCCGGGGCGCCATTCTTGCGGTCCACCTCTGGTGGCTCCTCACCCTCTGCCTCGTGGTCGCGCTCCGGCCGGGCTAGTAGCTCCTTGAACACTGGGTGGATGAAAGGGGGGAAACGGATTAGTATTTCTTACTTGGTCCTCTTCAATACTGTGTGAAACACAAGGCTTCCATGATAGTGTTACTGTTACTTATATTATTAATATTAGTATTAGTTATTATACTGAACAAAAGTATAAAACACAACATGCAACAATTTTAAAAGATTTTCAAAGATGAGTTACAGTTCATATAAGGAAATCAGTCAATTTAAATAAATACATTAATTAGGCCCTAATCTACGGATTTCACATGACTGGGAATACAGATATGCATCTGTCGGTCACAGATACCTTTAAAAAAAAGGTAGGGGTGTGGATCAGAAAACCAGTCAGTATCTGGTGTGACCTCCATTTGCCTCATGCAGTGCGATGCATCTCCTTCACATTGAGTTGATCAGGCTGTTGATTGTGGCCTGTGGAATGTTGTCCCACTCCTCTTCAATGGCTGTGCAAAGTTGCTGGATATTGGCGGGAACTGGAACATACTGTAGATCCAGAGCATCCCAAACATGCTCAATGGGTGACATGTTTGGCGAGTATGCAGGCCATGGAAGAACTGGGACATTTTCAGCTTCCAAGAATAGTGTACAGATCCTTGCGATATGGGGCCGTGCAATATCATGCAGAAACATGAGGTGATGGCAGTATATGAATGGCACGACAACGGGCCTCAGGATCTCGTCACGGTATCACTGTGCATTCAATTTGCCATTGAGAAAATGCAATTGTGGAGGTGGCTTATGGTAGAGAAATTAACATTCAATTCTCTGGCAACAGCTCTGGTGGAAATTCCTGCAGTCAGCATGCCAATTGTATGCTCCCTCAAAACTTGAAACATCTGTGGCATTATGTTGTGTGACAAATTTTACAGTTGCCTTTTATTGTCCCCAGCACAAGGTGCACCTGTGTAATGATCATGCTGTTTAATCAGCTTCTTGATATGCCACACCTGTCAGGTGGATGGATTATCTTGGAAAAGGGGAAATGCTCACTAACTGGGATATAAACTGATTTGTGTGCACAATTTGAGAAAAATAAGCTTTTTGTGCATATTAACAATTTCTGTGATATTTGATTTCAGTTCATGAAACATGGGACCAACACTTTACATGTTGCGTTTATATTTTTGTTCAGTATAGTATTACATTCGTAGTTACAGTTAGCCCTCAATTCTCACCTAAAAGATTGGTTTTCACAGAAATTGACAAGTGGGTGTTGTTCCTCAGGATCTCATTGGCTTTGGTGAGCTGGACATTTTCAAAGTTCTGCCCATTCACCTCCAGAATCTGTTCAAAGTCAAACAAAGACACCACAAACATTACATACAGTAATCATCCACATCCTCAATCCTGTTAATTCATGCAAGAGTCAAATCCACAACTCTTATGTAGGCACCAAACTCCAACTTACTGAGCCATGTGAACTATTCAATTACATGACACTGAAACTCATACATATCCTCCCAGGTGTTGGAACCATCCCCACTTCCCATGCCCATCTCTCTAACAGCTACACTACTACACTACTTGTCTCTATTTCCTCGTAGCAGGTGCTGCCTTGTCATGAAAGGGAGAGGACTTTGTGTTTACACATGAGCGTGCTACCGAGTCATCCTCCTTTCCTCTGGGTGAACCAGGAAGTGATCTCTGGGTGAACCAGGAAATTACCTTTGATCTCTCTGTGAGTGAGGGGCCTTCCTCTGCAGTCATTACCACAGTGCTGATGGTGCAAATCAGGTCTAACGGCTGTTTCTGGGCCAGCCCTTATTAAAGAAACACTGGTCGTAAATTCGGCTAAGAGGTCTCGTTAATGGGCCGATGAAAAGGGTAGGGAGATTGATAAGGGTATTTGAGCTCTTGTTAGACAGTCACTCACTGTGTATATGGCAATACATGAGAAGGTTTGACAGGAGAATTGTAAGAGTAAAAATGCTTTGCAGGATGCTATGGTTCATATTTCATTTGGCAAGCAGCTGCAGGGAGGTGTTTAAGGAGTATTCATTTTATCTACACCAAAGCCCAGCCAAGCAGGGTTTCCAAGCTGGCATCCTGGATTTAACCTAGGATCTTTGGAACCCTTGGGGCAAAGTGTGAAAAATCACTCCTGAGTAAACTAGTGAATGAGCACTCCTCACTTCTACACTGTCATTGCTGTCTAATATGTGGTGATCTTTCTGGCACAAAACAGTGCCGTACCATCAATCAGGTGGGTGCAACACATACACTGGTATTGGATGAGGGAAGTTTTCCTTACTACTTCCTTCTACGTGAAGCATTTTGAACATATGAAAAAACACTATATAAAGAACATTCTTGTTACTTCACCTGGTCTCCTCGTCTGAGGCCGGCCTCTGCGGCCTTGCTCCCGGGCACCACGCTGTCGATGAAGATGCGGAAGCCTTTCTCGGAGCCCCCCAGCAGGGTGAAGGCTAGAGGGGCCTCCCTCGACGGCTTGGTCAGTGTCACTAGACGCAGTTTGGCTTTAGCAGCGCAGGCAATGTTTAACAGTCTAAGGTGGCCGCACATTTTCTGTAAAGGAAATTGAGAATGTTTAGTATATTGCTAAATTCAGGGTTTGTGTTTGTATCTCAACTTTGTTACTATGTGAAAGAAAAAGAAAAAACATTTTAGAATTTTTATTGTGAAATAAGAGAGTAGCGCAAGGCAAATGTTTGACTGAATATACAGTACCAGTCAAAAGTTTGGACACACCTACTCATTCAAGGGTTTGTCTTTACTTTTACTATTTTCTACATTGTAGAATAATAGTGAAGACATCAAAACTATGAAATAACACACATGGAATCACAAAGTAACCAAAAAGGTGTTAAACAAATCAAAATATATTTTATATTTGAGATTCTTCAAAATAGCCACCCTTTGCCTTGATGAAAGCTTTGCACACTCTTCGTATTCTCTCAACCAGCTTCATGAGGTAGTCACCTGGAATGCATTTCAAATAATAGGTTTGCCTTCTTAAAAGTTAATTTGTGTAATTTCTTTCCTTCTTCATGCGTTTGAGCCAATCAGTTGTGTTGTGACAAGTTAGGGGTGGTATACAGAAGATAGCCCTATTTGGTAAAAGACCAAGTCCATATTATAGCAAGAACAGCTCAAATAAGCAAAGACAAAATGACAGTACATCTTTACTTTAAGACATGAAGGTCAGTCAATCTGGAACATTTCAAGAACTTTGAAAGTTTCTTCAAGTGCATTCGCAAAAACAATCAAGCGCTATGATGAAACTGGCTCTCATGACGACCGCCACAGGAAATGAAGACCCAGAGTTACCTCTGCTGCAGAAGATAAGTTCATTAGATTTAACTGCACCTCAGATTGCAGCCCAAATAAATGCTTCAGAGTTCAAGTAACAGACATCTTAACATCAACTGTTCAGAGGAGACTGATTGAATCAGGCCTTCATGGTCAAATTGCTGCAAAGAAAGCACTACTAAAGGACACCAATAAGAAGAAAAGACTTGCTTGGGCCAAGAAACACAAGCAATGGAAATTAGACCGGTGGAAATCTGTCCTTTGGTCTGATGAGTCCAAATTTAGGATTTTTGGTTCCAACCGCCGTGTCTTTGTGAGATGCAGAGTAGGTGAACAGATAATCTACATTCCCATGTGAAGCATGGATGAGGAGGTGTGATGGTGCTTTGCTGGTGACACTGTCAGTGATTTATTTAGAATTCAAGGCACACTTAACCAGCATGGCTACCACAGCATTCTGCAGCGATACGCCATCCCATCGGGTTTGCGCTTAGTGGGACTATCAATTTTTTTTCAACAGGACAATGACCCAACACACCTCCAGGCTGTGTAAGGGCTATTTGACCAAGAAGGAGAGTGAGAGTGCTGCATCAGATCACCCGACCTCAACCCAATTGAGATGGTTTGGGATGAGTTGGACGACAGAGTGAAGGAAAAGCAGCCAACTAGTGCTCAGCATATGTGTGAACTCCTTCAAGACTGTCGGAAAAGCATTCCTCATGAAGCTGGTTGAGAGAATGCCAAGTGTGCAAAGCTGTCATCAAGGCAAAATGTGGCTACTTTGAAGAATCTAAAATATATGTTGATTTGTTTAACACTTTTTAATAGTTTTGATGTCTTCACTATTATTCTACATTGTAGAAAATCATAAAATAAAGAAAAACCCTTGAATGAGTAGGTGTGTCCAAACTTTTGACTGGTACTGTATAATGAAGGCAAAGGAGGAGTAATGGCTGAACTGGATATGAAACATGCTATGCTTAACTGAGACACGGACCTCTCTCTCCAGATTGTTTTCGAACTCTTCTAGAAAGCGAGTCATTGCTGGGTCGCCTTCAAAGTCATTGAAGTGATTGTTCACCCACAGCAAGACTACCCGTGTAACCTGTGGATGCAAGAAGAAGGGTTCATTTTCACTCACAGTAAAACAAAAAAATGGCTTGGATTGAATGCCAGCTAGTTAGATGCATTTCCTCACACTTAGCTCTGTGTATGTATGTGTGTTTGTGCGCAAATATGTATTAATCTCCATATATGTGACTTGTTTCAGGAAACTAGGCGTATGTCGCACATCACTACTTCACAGGAGCAGCATTTGAACATAAACTTTATTTTTTATCAAAATGCGTTTTTTTGGCAGAAATGCCGTCTGGAACATGTGAACTTTCAGGTGCCTTAATAACAAACTTGTATTAGATCCATAAATACGAATACAACATTTATATTACGAGCCTAGTTGTTTAGCCATGGAAAAAGACAGGAACCTTCCCACTAGCCATGATTGGCTGAGATAATGTATGGGCTGGACATGCCGAGAGATGAGTTTGGATTGGTATGCCACGTAGCACGCTTCTGTCAATAACGTGAGCTGTTCAATATGTGTTGACAGTCCTTTCTACCACGCCGTTTTTTGAAAGATAACGTTAGCCATCGAGAACTACAAAAGTTTTGCTACTTTTCTCAACAACATTGAGGCCCTGAATTTAGCAGCCGCTATCGACAGATCAGTAGGAAAAAGTGATGGGCTACTTTCTGCACATGCCACGGTCAGTGTGAACCGGAGTGACTTGACACAAAGCTGGCCAAACAAGATGTAGCTACAAACAAAACAGAGTTAAATGGTTCCAGTCTGCCGTGAAGCGTTCATCCATGTATACGGGTAAGAGTCTAGCTACATTTTCCAGATGTACGTTTCTAATTTTGTCAGAAAGTCATTTTTATTGCAAATTAAAGCATACTGTTAGTTAGCTAGTAAACATTAGCTTGCTGGCTCGCTAGCTAACGTTACGTGTATGATCTGTGTAGTAATATTATTCTAATCAGAAAACCATTTGCATTGCTAGTTATAGCCTAATGTTAGCTAGTTAACATTGAACCTAGTTTGTTAGCTTTAGCTACCTGCAGATTCATACTACAGCTATGACAATGTTTGTATTGGTAGTAGTATGAGTTGGGGTTATGCCGGCTCATTGTTTAGCTAGCTAGCTACCTAGCTAGCTACATGTCTAAACAAAAGACTCCACTTCGGCCGGATTATTACATGACCCATCAAATTAGCAGGTGTGTCTGGGGGTGATTACGGCCATCGATTGTATTTCATGAACATTTGTACATGTCTGGACAATAGTGACCCATCCACTTAGCTAGATGTGGGCGAGGGGTGGTTATAGCATTTGCTTCACATGACCCATCAATTTAGACAAATGTGTCAGGTAAGCGTCATCTAATAATGATAAAATATTAAATATTTTTATCTGCACACTTTCTGTTTTTGATATTGCTACTATGCAAGTACCATCACTGTACCATTTACACCTTCTGCATCCTGTGCATGTGACAAATAAACTTAGATTTTATTTGATATAGCGTGTGTTTACCACATGGCCTCACATGTGACTCCTTAACGAGATGGGTGGGGCTAAGGCTTAAGAGGTTGTGAACGATGCTGAATGGGTGTAGACAAAGAAGAGCTCTCCAGTAGGTGTACCAAAACGTTCAAGGACCATTTTCTCAAAAGTGAGGTTACAAGTTTATCAACTTTCAAAGCAGACTTACTTTCCCATTGTTCCTCAACTGCAGTCTATGATATACCATTTTCTAGCTCTGAGTCTCTACTTTTATCCAATATAAAAAACAGGCAGTCGGTCACATTGGTAAGAGTGTATGCATGCATGCATCTGTGATCTATGTGGTATTATCTATGCGTTTACTATGACGGATGTTAAGTACTGTCTAGCTTCCATTACAATGCAATGACTGAAATGCTTTACTGAAATGGATAGTAAAGCTTTTGAACTGGGAGCTGACCTTGTCCCTGAGGCTTGGGTCGTGGAACCACTCGAGGAGCTTCTTGCCCACGACCATGGGGCTGGAGAGGAAGGTTCTGTAGGTCAGTAGGAAGTCCTCGATGTAGGTGGGGTCCACCACAGAGTGCTCCTCTACCAGGTGCATGGTCAGACGCTCCGTCGTGCCCTAAGGGAGATGGTGTACAAGGAGAAGCGTTTTAATGTTTGTTTTGAGTCTCATGTGTATCATGTCACTGTGAAGACACCAAAAGGCAACTTTCCACATTTTGTGGACAATACTTTTTTTCTGTTCTATTCCATTTACAAAGATAATAGAGATTATAATAGAATCCTTTAGGTAACACTCAAAGTTGTATACATAGCATTTATTCAAGAATGAATGAACTCACCTTGATCACGATGTGTCCCTTCCGTGTGCCAGTGCGGTCCAGCTCGCGGTGCTCCTTGACCATGACGATCTCGCCCTCCTCCTCCACCTTCTGCATGTTCTTCTCCACCTGGTTGAGGATGCAGCAGTAGTCCTGCTGCGCTATGCACACAAACTGGAGCAGAGCAGAGAGAGAGGAGAAGTAGTTAGCTTGGGGACACAATCTTTTTTAGACCAGCATGGCTGAGATCAATTTTGAGCAAATCTATTTTATGATACCATTGACATAAATACAATCTCTTAGAGAATTAACCCCAGTGTCTTAATTTGAATTATTGGCAAATTATAACTAGATACTTAATTCAAGCTTGATTTAAAATGCAACTGACTAATTGCACAAGTAAATAACAGGGTCCAGTAAATCATACAGATCAATATATCTGATGGAAATAAGGCCCCTATGATGGGCCATCGACCAATCGTCCATCATATGAGCCAGTCACAGTGCTAGGCCTTACCTGACAGTCGTCCACCTTGGTCTTCATTACTCCCTTCATGTACTCCTTCTCCATGGTGGGGGAGACCCCGAAGCTGTTCCCCATACACAGGATCTCAGGCCTGCCCTCAGGGTACGTCACCTCCACTGAACCGTTCAGGATCACTGACCACGAGTCCAGCTAAGGGGGTCAGAAGTACTCAGTGATCATTCAGTGGACATCAATGGTTTTAATATCAGGCTAGGATCAATGTTAAAGGAAATGATCACCACAATGATCCTTTAAACACATTGTTTAATCACAATTAGCGATTAGTTAGCCATTAGCCATGTCTGATTTAGGATTGGATCGATGTTTAATTCTATATTTTGGCAGGGAATCAAATTGAACTAAGATGATGAGCATCACATTCTTTGACAGGTGATATCTTTAATCACTGGTCACAAATGTTTCAATAGCATAATAAACTCCAGTTTTAACGCTACAATAATAACTAAGCTTTTACCCTTTTATTATGGAAGTAAAAGCAAATCATATTTTATAGCAAGAGATCGATTTCTCCCTCTATTTCTTCCCTATAGCATCATCAACAATACATATAAATCTGACAATGCACTAAGGCATTATAGTGGACATGTTACTAACACAAATCAGCTCAATGGGATGTTATTTCACATTGACTGGACTGCCATAGAAGTGAACTGCCCTTAAGGGTATGGCTCTTCACTCTATTGTTTGGGTGCATCGCAGTGGAAAAATTGCTTAATTCAAAGCCAGGGCCTGTCCAGGCTGTAGAGAAAGTAGATAAGTGATCTCTCTTCTGGTCCCCTTAGGGAATCTTATGATCCCGAGATTCTTGGAGATGGCAGTCATTCATGTTTAATAGGGAAAAAAACATCAGAAACCTTCATTGGTAATGGCAAGGGCAAAGTGCATGCCCAGGCCATAGATGTGCAAACCCAGACACATTCAAGGCACACACAATACAGACATAAGAGAGACACTTAAGACACACACATCCCCCTCCCCACACACACCTCTTCCCCGTCATTGAGGACGATGGTGCCGGCGCGCTCAACCACAGCAAACACCATGACGGCACACAGCTCCCTCCTCACCGACATGGTCATGTTGGCGAACGCTGGCAGCTGATGCATGAACTCCAGTAATTGCTCTGTGGAAAGGTTGGAGAGGGGGAGGAGAGGAGGTTAGGAAGGTTGACACAGAGGAGAGAGAGAGAGAGGACGAGCATAGGTGGACTTGGCAGTCCTTCAACTTCTCTGCGGCTTTGGACAAGGGCACAGCTAGCGCGAGAGAAAGTGAATTAAATTCAACCCCACAATAGTGATGAGTACCCAACAAAGGGATTATTATCTTAAGTACATTAAGGCAAACTATCAATTTCATTTTCATCGAGATAAAAAATAAAATAATCTGTGCATGAGCATAAAAGTAAAAGCAGACACTGCGTTTCGCAACCTTTTGAGTGTAAACATTTTGTGATCGACGTTCAAAAGAAAATTCACTTCCACAGTGTGTCAACCTTAATTCACATTTGGGGCTTTCAGCTCAGCTGTATAGGACATTGCCTATCCTGATTCCTGCGCCATGCATTTTTTTGGCTCCTTGAAATAGTTCGCTGTGGCGTTTTGGGGTGATTTTGGACTAAACCGGGAACCAGGAAAGGACTCCCCTTGCTAGGCACCTAAAGCAAGTCTAGGGTGCTGTGCTTGGCATGGCAAACAGTGTCATGTGTGAAGCCTTCGGAAGCACTGAAACTTTAATGTGTCGGGAGAGGAGAGGATGTGCGGCGTTGACCTAAAAAAGCCTGCCGGCACAGAGAGCAGGGAGGGGCGGCGGGGAGGTTGGGGGTTCGTCGAGGGGAGGAGAAGGGGTGGTGGGTGTATTTTCTCTTTTTGTCTCACTCTCTCTTTCTGTATTTGTATCCACTATATCATCCACACACCACATCTATGGCTAAGCTTAAAATGTGAGTAACTGTGAACTAGTCTCTTTTCTTGACTATCACTGTATTGCTGCTAACAGGCCTATGATATCACAGGCTTTGTGTGGCACAGACAGAATATCACTCCGGGCTAAAATAAATTCACCTAATGAAAGCAGTGAAGCACAAAGGCCTGCAGATTGGCACATAATTCACGGTAGCTAGCTAATACAGAGGGGCGGGGCAGAGCAAAACTAAGGGCGTGGCACTGGGAGAGGGGGCGTGGCTGTAGATTATTTGACAAAAATCATGAATGCTTGATTAAACTGATGAGCCTACAATGGGAACTCTGGGTAGGATTAACCCTTTGTGAACTAAGCCGAAGCCAATTTGCTCCCATTGCTTTTCCAAATGTCTTGCCAAAAAATAGCAAACACTTACAAGGTATTTTAGCAGTAGTACTGTAATTAAACAATGGAATAGGCATATTAACAGTTGTTTCTAGATTTAGCGTAAGGGTTCAATTGTAGTGTGGAATAGTCGTTGGGTGCCCCTTTCTGTGCCAAAATCATCTATTAAAACAATTAGGAGCCAATTTCTGAGGCAGGAATCAACATAGCAAAGCAGGGAAGGGAGGGGGGGCACCCTACCAAGTGCCTACATAACAGTAGGGAAACACTGGCACACTACCAGGTAAATACATTTTGGTTCCCAAAACGTTGTGAGAAAGTTACTTTTCAAACAATCAAAGGGGAACCTTTAGGGAATGTTAGAGGAACATTCTGTGTGCTAGCACGGACTCACCTATGTCGTCATCGGTGCGGTCCATGGGGTCCTTCTCCAGGCAGTCCCGCACAATGTCGCGGCTCATGAGGGGGTCCGACGCTCGCTCAATGTCCTCCTCGTCATCGTCCTCCTCTGAGTCGACGTTGGTCTCGGGCAGCCCGCTAAGGTCCATGTCGCCCGGTTCGTTCTCCGTGGCCTGAGGGTCAAAGTAGAGGAAGGATGTCGGTCAGTCATCCTGGATCAAGTCATCCAGGAACAACAATAACACAACAGTATTCTCCATCGTAACAACAACCATCAATCTTAACCAGTGAGTTTTAGTAACATGAGTGCAGGAAAATGGTCAATGGTCTGCACTAAGCTGCAAACTGGTGGGCTGAGATTAGAGGTTGGTAAATATTGTGCAATAACTACACATAATGGCTGGCAAAAAAAACTAACAATGGTGATAAGCAGAACCTGCATCGATGCAATGCATCAAAAGTGACAATGTCAGTTGTAACAGAGTACAACCAAGGAAAGAAACTACCAGTGCCAATAGTATTCTCAACACCTAGCCTGTTCAGTAAGACTGATAGGTCTTGGTGTATGTGAGAGACACTGCATATCAAGCATCCTGCCATGCATAAAACACCCAGCTAATTTTCTCACAACTCTTTCTCTCGCTCTCCCTCTCCAGCTCCCCTTTAGAGCCTGACAACCTCTTTGAAAGAGTGAGAGAAAATATGGAGGAAAGAGAGAAAAACTAGGAGTGAAATAAATGCAATTGACAATGTCACAGTGATATTAATAGAACGTTTGGCGCTGCGCATCCATCAAGGCTTCTCAAACACTATAAATATCGTTGAGAGGCCATATTGCATGTTTTGCGCTCTCAACACGAGCTCCGCCTTGAGAACGAAAACCAGGCATGAAACACAGGGAGATGAAAACTAAAAACAATCCTGGCCCAGATGTGTCGAGTGCTAACCAACTCTTCTTACCTGAATGCAGTCCCTAAATTCCTGCCTTTTCAAAGAGAGAGCTAAAAACAATCTTGCCTTCATATACTGCCTGCAGAAGCCTAGTCCGAGACGCATCTTTACCGCCCGGGTTGCCAGTCGTGTTTAAATTTTTCAGAGCTTCAAAGAGTCCCCGTCTTTCACAGAACGTAGTCCTGTCATTTCTCCTTAACCACCAGGTGGAAACGTCTCATTAATGATTCAGGGTGCCGTCTGAGTAGCCACTCAGGCGTCATGAGGTCAGCGAGGTGGGCGGGCCAGAGGGGCCTGATGGGGCGAGAGCGCAAAGGGGGCGGGGTTATTCCCTTGGGGAAGGGGTTGGTAAAGTGTGGACATTTGGAGGAGTGAAACAGCGGAAAATCTGAAGATCGAGGTATGTCGGTTTTCCATGCGACAGGGAATAACCGAGTTGCTGAGATGGAGAATCTTAGAAAACTGTCTTGAAAATATCTGGAAATCTCAGCAGCAGTGAAAACAGCTATCTGTCTTCAGCTTCACCTTGATGTGAATGTCTACTGATGCCGAAACCCAGTAGAAAACAACTACATTCCACAAAAATAAAACATTGTTGGCATGCTTCAAACCTCAGGAGGACACTGTCCTAAAATAGCAGATATATGTCCTCACAGTAGCTTTCATTGATTAAATATTGTTGTATGTCAATTCCATATTAGCCACCCACCTCAGGCTTGTAATATACTAAATGCTTGTTAGTGGTGTGCTGATCATAATTTAGAAGTGTGTGCCTGAGGGAGATTGCAACACCTTCGGATTTGATTCGGACAACATTTCCAATGAGTTACACAATGTTACCAACACACTGGGAATTCTGAACCGTTAAAATCTAATCAAAAATGTAAAATGTTATCTCGAATATACAGAGAAACTCAGAACCCCTCTGTGTATGTGTGTACGCATGTGTATGATGTATGATCCATAAATGTGTGGTGAGCGAAAAAGGGGGGGTAGTTAATATTTCAAAAGGGCTATTCTTGGATCAATGCTTTCAAGTGTCCTTCTGAAGAACCAATTTCATGATTTATTCAGACGCAAAACAGTCGGCCATGTTTGCAAGGCAGTGACAGTGAGGATGCAGCTCCATTCTTCTGGCCCGGGAGAAAGACAATGGGGCACTCCAGCGGACACGGCTCGTGGATGAAAGGAAAGAGTAGCATCGCCAAGCGCTTTACCCTGGTAGACATCTGTCAAGAACACTCAGAAATGTGAATAGTTGTCTAATCATAGACATACAGTCTTATTAATAGACAATATTGTCTAATTATTGTTCTTTGATCATGTAAAATCTCTTTGAATTGGTCTTATCACCATCATCGAGATTGAAGCAACAAACACAGTCACTGGTCTGCAGCTGCGGGACAAATCTAATTCGAGTCTCATGATTTTGTTACACACTGACTAAATAGGCCTGTGTTTTTATGCTGGATCAACCCTCCTTCACTCTATGCTCCAGCCCTGATGATGTGGACAGCTATTAACCCAAACATGCTTGTCCAGGAAGGAACTACTACCGTGTCATCCATTTTCTCTAAGCTTTGAAGACGGTAAATCTAACATTCTCAGACTAAGTGATGGTGGGTCTGGGTCACCTCCATTAGTGAGCGAGTAAGACTGAATAGAAATGGGGAGGGATAGAGAGAAAAAGATAGTGATGAGAAGCTATGGACAGATAGATCATAAAGAGAGAGGCGGACTGACGAAGGAGAACAGTAGACTTTAATGGGGCCGCTACAGCAGACCTGTTAATGACGACCTACCAGATGGCCCTAAGACTGGATGAGGGCCTGGGCATAACCTGCCCCCAACCCGCCACACGCAGTATGTACTGTACACAGATTGTGCACGTGCACACACAGAAATGGCAACAGACTGACACCGACTAATGCTCACACGCACAGCGCACTCACACAGATGCACACACACAGCAGGTGATGACGTCGGGAGCCAATGGGGTGCCTGTGTGTGGTAAGAGGATTAGGTGCGATTGGCTTTGGGGCCTGACTACAGTCACGAGATGGTGGAGTGTGGGGGGGGTGGGGGGGCTGTTCTGTTCTATGGGCATTTAGAGGGCGTTGGGGGGGACATTGCTGGGACATTTGAGGGAGGCCTGTTTACCTGGTAGGTTGCTACTTTCAGAGTGGGGGGGTTGGAAGGGGGACTGCTCTACAGGCATTTAGAGGATGTTGTAGGGACGTTACGAGGACGTTACGAGGGGGGGGGGGGGGCCTGTGCTTACCTGGTATATGTCTGACAGGCTGCTGCTTCCAGAGTCGCTGGTGATACTACATCCTGAGTGGCTGGAGGACACGTGGGTCACCTGTGGGTGCAAGCCGTCGGCCAGGTGGAGTCGGCTGAAGTCTGCAGGGAGCTGCACACACACAGACAGATGGTCAGTTTCACCAGTCACAACCCACTCACACCACCGACACACGGCTGTCCGGCGTTTAAAAGGCACTTGGCTCCATGGTGGGTGCAGCACTTGTTTAGCCATTACCAAAACATTGCAATCAAATTAGAGTACCGTCTGTATTAGATGTTAGTGTGGCCAGGGAACGAGTGGAGTTGGTAGGGGAACGTGTGGGAGCACAGAGTTCCCAAAGCGAAAATGTAGAAATTATTTGAGATGTTGAAATTATTTTGCCGCTGAATGCCCTGTGAATTGCCAGTGGGCGAGTTCTGAGTTCCCAGAGTGATTTTTGATTCTAGATGGAAATGATTCATCATCTTCAGCTCATTTAAATTAATTTAACCCATCTCCTTCTCCTGTGATTACACAGCAGTCTTAATAGAACATGCATGAAAAGAATACTAATGAAGCCTGTGAGTTAATGCTAAACTTCTTCCAAATAATTCATAATCAAATTAATTAATTAATAACATTTCCCACTTTTATGGTATCCGTGGGGAACATTTATGGAGTTTAACAACATGTATTTATCTAACATTAAAATAATAATATATTTTAAAATGTCTTGACATTTTAAGCCCCCCTGCAATAGTGCCATTTACTCAATGCTTTTAAGTGCACATAAAACCAAGATCTATTGTCAATTATCTCCAGAGTGGCGCAGTGGTCTAAGGCACTACATTGCAGTGCTAGCTGTGCCACTAGAGATCCTGGTTCAAATCCAGGCTCTGTCATAGCCGGCCGCGACCGGGAGACCCATGGGGCGGCGCACAATTGTAGCTCAGTTGGTAGAGCATGGCGTTTGCAACGCCAGGGTTGTGGGTTCGATTCCCACGGGGGGGCCAGTATGAAGAAAAAAACCCCATATATATACAAAACATAAAATACAAAATAAATAATAATGTATGCACTCACTAACTGTAAGTCGCTCTGGATAAGAGCGTCTGCTAAATGACTAAAATGCAAATTCTATTTGAAAGTGCAGCGTTTGGTAGGCAAACTTTGCCGTTCTGTTTCGTGTCCATATTTGCTGAGCTCATCTTGTGTGTATAGAAAGTAGCCATAGGCCAAGCAGTGAGGGTAGTTGGGTACTGGGTCTTGCGTGCTGGTGTGACCGACTGGGATTCAAATCTGGGTCTCCAGCATGTCACAAGATTGTGTTAGCCTGTTGAGCTAAAGCCTTGACAAGACATCAGTACCAATGGCAACAAGCATGTATAACTACCTGACTCCCAGAAACATTTTGTGGTGTTAGTCACACATAGACTCATCATGAGGCAGTGAATGTAACATTGAGGCTTCAAGTAGCCCATCATTATGTGTGTTTAATATGGAAGAGTGCCTACTAGATCCAGTTAAAATGAATATGACCCAATTTCCAAGCTATATGGAGATGACTGAGAGACGCACCGCCACCAGAATTCCCAGGGCAGAATTAGCATTAAAGCTAATGCAAGAAAATGGTGCAAAATGGTGCAAAATCTCAAAAGGGCTAGCTAGAATAACAAAACAACAACAACTGCTATTAGCATTCTGGAGCATGAATCCACAAGCATATCTATCCGAACAGAAACAAGCCTATGTAAGGAGTAGAAAAATCATTAAATGTATCAAAAGGAGATTATAGGCCACAGTACTCCAAGAAGCATAGTTAAATAAGAATATTTGAGTTTTAATGTTTTATTTATCTATTTATTACCATGCTCAAAGCTTTAAGGGAAGCAGTTGCTCCTTAAACCCAACCCCTGGCAGCGACAGTGCATGAATATTTAAATCTTCACACCTAAAAGCACAGTGCATGTGATTAAACTGCTTCAATCAGGGCGTCACTGCTGGAAAGAAAATGTGAAAAGAAGAACACTCATACTGCAGTGCTTCAGCTAAGAAATTTGAATACAAACTAGAACAGGAAAATAGTACTGCTCCAGATATTAGGCCTATACACCGAACCATGCTATTCACAACCACCAAATACATTCACGCACGTAAAACAGTCATGAAACTGCACAACAGTCATGAAACTGCACAAAAGATCTGCCCCAGATGCATGCTTGAACTTAAATAACCACTTTGTCGCTGATGAATTATGGAGAAACACTTTCAATAAGAGTAATTCTGGAGGTCTCAAATGGTTGACAAATGTAATACATTGGATGTATAATACATTTCGAGGTTAATTTGCAACTAAATCGGTTTGACTCATCTCCCCCGATATGTATGCATAGTCAATCTCAGTCTCCATGTGTAGGGATAGAGCGTGAGGCTGAGGAGGAGAGGTATTAACATTGGTTTGAATTACTTAATCAACAGCTTTTAAAGGTGGGAAAAGTGATGACTGTTCTGCTCCTGGAATTAACACTTCAAAATTCTCCATATTCCATGGAGAATATGTTTTTGGTTAAGAAATCACTCAATATTCAACACTTACATTAGGCTATATAAATTTTTTGACAGGAACCACCACAGAATTGTAGTAGATACTAAACTATGTCAAGGAATTTAAAAAGTGTTGGTGTAGAACTGCAATGAATTGTAAGTCACACTTTTAAATATGAATCAACTTGGGGCAACTAATCATGCTGTGAAGTGTGTGTGTGTGTACACATGTGAGTGAATGTGTGTATGCATTTGTTTGTGTGTGTGTGTGTGTGTGTGTGTGTGTGTGTGTGTGTGTGTGTGTACCACAGAGTAAAAAGCTAGCCCACACCCAATACATTCACACCCCAATACGATTGTGAATGTGATGTCATTACAGTGTATCAAAGACGACCATCACATTTCATTAACCGGATCGGTGCACAGAACCAAATGGTTCACCAAGGGGGCTAGAGCCAGGGCCCCTCAGCCTGGTAGAGCCACTCTCCCCATCTTCTCATCTGAACCCCCTCCAGCAAAGTGGAGAAAGATTATTAGTGGACCCTGAATTGTGTTACAACAATGAAGATCTTAAACAATTGCAGTCTGCATTGAACAAACTGAATGACATTCCTTGGCACTATATATTAAGTGGAAATGTTACCGTCTTGTATGACTGGACACTGAATTGTGTTCCAATGGTACACACTGACTACAATTGCAGTCTGTATTAAAGTATGCATTGAACAGCAGTGACAGTCAATGGCACTATAGAACAAGGGGCAATGCTATTGTATCATTTCATTTCAAAAAAACATTGCGCGCAAAAATCAATGCTACCTATAGACTAGCGCACAATGTTATTGTCCTATTTGCTAAGAATTCTGGGTGAAAAGAAATCAAGGCTGCCTATAGACTAGCTTGAGAGAGCCTGCATTTTGAATGTTTGGTGGAGCAGATTGCTGATTCCATCATGATGTAGAAGTGCATGGCACGGTGGACAAACAGAAAACAACCCTGAACATGTAGCAACGGGAGGTTTATCAATAACCACATGTGCGACCAGAGGTTGGTAGTAGTACACACGGCCGATAGCCACATGTCAATAGCAATATCCAGGCTGTATCCCCCCCCCCACCCTAAACCAACTGGCTAGACCCCCCCTCCAGTTCATTGGCATGGCCAGTTCTGAGAAAATGGCTGCTAACAACAACATCAACAAGGCTCGCTAAGCTATTCTAATCAGCGCTGCTGCTAGGATGCTAATCGCTATACATTTTTGACGTGTCATTACAGCGACCCCTTCTCAAACTCTCTAAGGATGTGCGCAATCATTAACATGCAATATCTCGAGGTCAAAAATAAATAAATCCAAACGCACAATTTGCCTAATCCATATTTAGGCCTTGTGTGACACTCCCTTCTGTTCTAGATATTCTCAGGACAAATCAAAATAATGAAATCAGCTCTTTCCAATCCGTAGCCAAAAATATTTACAATCAGCTGGTCATGACGGGATTAGAACAGTAGCATGCTCTAATGCTCGAGCCACAACACTGCATTCCCAATTGTGCCTTTCATGGTGAGCAGATGTGGCGCTTTTAAAATTACACTGTAGACCTAATGACCTAGATTGCCGCACTGGCGGCAGCCCCGTGGATGTGGATGGAAGGGCTGACTAGGTCTCAACCCCTTTATGGGGATTTCGGTATACAGCAGAGGGTGAACCGTGAAACTAGGTCTGTGACTGTCTGACTTGGATGACCTAGCTTGGAGGCTATTCCTTCTACCTGGAGAATAAATAAAGAGGCTTAACTAAGGTAGATGGGAAATTGAGTTTTGGAGAGGTGTGAAAATGCTGATGTTGGAAGACCAAATACGGCAGGCGCTATTCCCAGAGTTCTCCCTAGTCCCAGACCTTGGTGGTGGGGGCTTCTCGCTTTCCTGAGCCGGGTGGATCAAGAGATTAAAGCCGTTTGGGCTGGGTGTCCGATTAAACAGACCTGATATTCTCTCTGACAAGGCTTACCCACTCTGCCCTGTGAACACAGCCAGGGCACATATTCACACACACAACATGGCTGGCATGGCACAGAGATGGGAGAGAGAACATGAGATAAAAGTCTTACCAACCAACACATAAGACATCCATTAGAATATAACTTTGCCGCTGACAATCACCAAATACTCATACTGTAATCTAATATCGTTTAAAAAATGGTGCATTGTCCAGAGCCTTTAAATGGACAGTAATTATATCTTAGAAGGGTGCGAAAGAGACAGAGAGAGAAAGAGGGAGAGAGAAGGGTCAACAATGATGCACTACCTCATAACAGCCATGCTACTATGACAACTACCTACTCTCACTAAATAGCCATGCAATTTCCCCGTATTAGTCACAGGCATGACGACACTACTCCAGAAATATGATACTCTTCTTTGATTGCTGTCTCCCACTGTATTCACTTATAAATATTTGCATACTTCTTGCTTGTTGAGGTGGAAGAGCGAGAGAAAGAAAGTAGGCTAAATCTGTGTGCTATATAGATGTAACTTACCCTCCACAATCTGTATACCACTGTGATTTACAGCTATAGGCACAAGGCTTCGGAGGGTTGAGTGATGCCAGCAGTCGCTGACAGCCAATCAATTCATTTACAGCTCATGTGCAGACCACTCAGTAGCCTACAAATGTCTGCCTGATCGCTGTCTCTAGTCTGGCTGTCACT